TCATGAAACTGTCGTCCCATTGCAAAAACAGGGTTCCATTTTCTGCTGCTTTCCTGAGTGAAATAACTTTTTGGAAGGGGGTTGCTGCTTATATTGAGCCTTGCCAGGAAGTATGGCCCACAGGAAACTGCGGAGACAGCTGTGAACTGCCTCTTGGTTCCCATGCTTCCCATAATGCCTTGGGAGTGTCGCAGTAATGTGGCATCACTCCCAAGGCATTCCTGCAAGTGTGGCAGGTGAGAATTTGTCCAGAGAAAGACTTACATTGCTGTGAGTGGTGTGTTGTGTTGTTTTTTAAAGTTTAAACCGCAAGAAAAATTGTAAAACCTTTGGCCCTGACCATTGCCATATTCCAAGGCTATTGAGAATTAAGCTGGTTCAGTTCAGCATTTCAGAGTTTTGAATTCAAATAAATCTGACCTTCAACCAAAACTGGGCATTTAATTACTTAATTAATTATCCTGCCCTTCCTCCCAAAGGAGCCCAGGACCACAAGCACACTCATAATAAAACTATTTTTAAAAGAAGTGTTCCCCCCCCAAAAAAAGCATTCTAAAAACAGTATTACTTAAAAACATTCTCTCATCTAGTGATCTCTAGGTTACCAGGAACAGTGTATTTCAGCTATGAAATGCCTGGGTGAACAGGAATATTTTCAAATTCCTCCAGAAAGTCACTAATGAGAAAAACAGATGCATGTTAGCAGGGAGAGCATGTACACTTTCCTAAGAAGTATAAAAGCAGAGTCATACATAAAAGTATTGTCAGAAGACTTTATTCTTGAGTATTATGAGAAGATCACATACCTTCAGAATGCAGTGTGAGCAAAAAGTTACATGGCTGCATTCCTGTTAGGTCCATTTGTTCATCAGAGTAAGCCCCCCCTTCTTTTACACCAATAAAAAATACATTATGTTCCCCACCACCACCCTATAGAGATCTCCAGTCTAGCTGCTAATATTTAGCAATTCCAATGCTAATGCTCCAATGCTTAGAGAGCTCCAGTTTGCCTAATAAATAATATGTGACTAAGGGCACTTGTTGATTGAGCATTCTTCTTGATATGTTTGCACAAAGTTTGCAGGGAGGCTAGATGATGTTGGCTGTTCGTTGAGCATTTGTCCTGATTTGTTTGCGGATAGGTTTCTATGGCATAGCCTCAAGCGGTTGTAATTTCACCTTTCCCAATCACTTCCCTAACTGCAAACTGTCCAATTTGGAGGTAGTGGGGATGGCTCTGTTGTGCAAGAGTGCCAAATCAGCTTTATTTGTGCAACCTAAATTTGCTGGTATGTGATTGAATCTCACCTGAAGTCCCATGAGTCTGGAAGTGCCCCGTGACTTTGTAAGAATAATAATCCTCCTTGTCTAAGGTTACAAGATGTCTCCGTTTCTCAGGGACAGTCCCTGGATTTACAAATCAGTCCCCTGACAAAATCCTATCATTCCTACTGAAGTTGAAAACTGTCCCTGGATTCATTGAAAAAAATCTGGTAACCTTATCCTTGTCAGAAATGCCTGGAAGTGCTAAGTATGGATCATATCTCAGTAACAAACAAATTCATAGAGGACAGGCCTTTCTGGTCAAATGATGTTAGGTGATGGGGACAAACAACAGGGGAGGCTCTACTTCTGAGTTTTGCAAAGGCTCTTGGCTGGCAAGGAAAGAGAATACTGAACTAACTGCACCTTTGGCCCGATCCATTAGGGTCCTGCTTAGGTTATTAATCCAGGATTGGGGAACCTGTGGTCCTCCAGATGTTGTTTGACTCCATCTCCCATCATCCCTGATCACTGGACATTCTGGCTGAAGCTGATGGGAGTTGGAGTCTGACCACACCTTGAAGGCTTTAGGGCTCCCCATCCATGTTACAATGAAACATTATGAAAAATGTTTTGGAGTAAACTCTGGAGTAAATCTGAATACCTGCAGTTCAGCTTACAGTGTTAAACTGCAACCTATCATATACCCCATGCTGCTGATTACACCCCAAAGAGCAGTAATGTGAATGCTAAGTTAGTTTTTCAAAAGACTCGACCATCACAACCATCTCAGGATAATATTAATCTGTACAGAGAAAAGGGATGGAAATGAAACCCGCCTGGAGGGAACAACACATCTTCAGCCATTATTGCCAAATCAATTCCTACTGTTGCTTAATCATGAGTAATCAGAAACCAAATACTTCAGCAATCTCTTCACAAGCGTGGAAAAATGGGAGAGCTTGAAGTGAAAAAAAAGCTGATGACAAACACTCGCTGAAGGAAGCTGCTGTTAATAAATGGGAAGAGGCGGGAGGACGTCAACAACGGGGAGAAGGAATGTGATTCAAGAGCATACCCAAGGGGCAGAACCAAATTGACTCACAAAGTATTATGAAGATCCAGCAAGGGGCAAAAATTTTCATCAGAAGCAATTGTAGACGGTGCTGCATGAATGGGAGAATTAGACTTGGAGATATACAGAGTAGAAGAACCAAAGCTGCATCTTTGATTCCTTGCACATCTTTCTGCAGAAAAGGCAAGGCAACTAAGCTCCACCGAGTATGCAGATGAGAACTGTTTCACACCAATTAGTCATATCTCCCAGCCCACAATCAGGTCTGAGGCAGGAGGGAGGAGGAAGCGCTCAGACAGTCTATGGAAGGGTGACACTTGCTGCTGTGATGTGAACACAGCAGAGAGGGTGACAGCAATGGCTTGTGCTAATCTGTACCCTGATAGGCCTGCACAGCTATCAACCACAGCAGACTTAAAGCATACAGTACGACTACCAAGATGGACCAAGGTGAAAGGTTAAAGTTATTGTGCCTTTTTTTTTTTGTATTGGATCAGATTGTTATTACATGTGTGATCTTTGCTGTCTTATTTTGTTGTTTGTAAAGCTTGTAAACTGCCTTGTGTATAGTAATACAGAAAGGCGGTATACAAATGAAGAGCGAAATGAAAAATGAAAGGAATGAAAAGTTCGAGACTGTGGCTCTATGCGTAGGCTTCGTCGAGATTTCACTGGCTGCTACATGAGACCCTGGCGTCTTGGAAGATTAGAAGAAAACATGAGGCTATCAGAATAAAGGAATGTTAAGGAATGCAGAGACGACAATAGTCACTGCCCCTAAAAAATAAAAAGTGCAATCATGCCTTTATTGAACAGTTTTGGAAAACAAGCACTGGGATGTGTCAGGCTGTACATCAGGGCTCTGCACAGTTCCTCCCAATCTGGACCTCTGATCTGGGGCCCTGGATCAGTTTGGGGGACACCCAACTGGAATCCAGCCCCAAAATCAAGGAAGGCACTTGTAAAGAAGCACCCTGCAGCTGGCAGGATTGAATTCTCTGCACACCAGCTGGTGAGGAGAGGATGTTTCAGTCCTGCTGAGATGTGCTTCCACAGCAGATTCCCTGCAGGGTAAGGCGCTGGGGCTGCCTGTCTCCTCCTGTTCCCACCCCATGCGTGACAGCTCTAGATTGTGCTGACCAGCAAGACCTAGGGCATAACAAGGATCTTTCCAACTGATTTGGGCAAAGCATAGAGGTCCTAAAATCAGCCCTGTTCAATTTTGGATTTGGGCTTTGGCAATACCTTAGGTGAATAATTTCTGAAGAAGCAAGAATTCTTGCTACACTTCCTCCCCAGATATATTAATCCAATGCTAGCATCTTACATAGGTTCACCTATGTAAGTAATGGGATTGATATAAAAGATGGGAAAGTCCATCCTGCTGATGAACAGAAGAGGTTTAAAAGCACCCTTTCTCATGCTTTCTCTGCTTGCTGTTCCTCCAGCTCTGCTTCACATGCTTCCATGCAGCTGAAGGCCACAGGATGCTGGCCCACAGCCCTGGATGGGTAACTTTGAACTTTATTCCAAAATGCTAATAAGCTGGGTAACTTAGAAATTCTGTTTCACCAACTCGATCGGCTGGAGGAAGTTAGAAGGAGGCCAACTCATCAATTAGCATAGGAAGTAACAAAAGCTGAGTGCTTTGTCAAGGCAACTGCGATGCTATTATTATGCCAGCTTCAAACTATATTTTCTATTGATGTATTACATTGCTTTGCATTTTTTCATATTCACAGCCAAGTGGTTATTTAAAGCTCTGTGCCAGACCAAGAAATAAACAAGTAACCAAGAGCCGAACGGCATGCAACGTTAGTTACATGCAAGCCATGAATATTTTGAAGTTTTGAGAACTCAATCCAGAACATGCTCTTTTTAGCATGCATTGGGGGCCATGCTAAATATCAAACCCCTCTTTACTGCTTTTTGCCCCTAAAAGTGTTGTTTGCTACAAACAGCGCACAGGGAGGTGTTTGTAGACCACTGGCCCATCTAGGTCTGTACTGTCTACACTCCAGGGTTTCAGAGTGGAATCCCCAGTAATTCTGCACATTCTCCAATCATCATGCAGCGTTTACATAACATTTCCATCAAACGGGTGTAAGCCTCACATTCCATAGGCCCAGCATGATTTTCTTTATTGAGGAAACTTCATGGGTGCCATCGATTGTCTTGATTTTGCATGGCAGACAATTGTAATACCTTAACACCGAAATGCACATTCTCCCTAGTGGTATGAATTCCTCAAAATACAAAGTTCTTCTGGAATATACACTGATTGGGGTCAATAGGACCTGGGGTCTTCTCAATATCTGGAGGACAGCAATTTGCGGAAAGCTGGTATGTATAAAGTAAAATGAAGCAGACACCTCTTTTCACCTAGGTTGCAGCAGCCTGGGCTGGTAATAGTAAATATTCTGAATCTTGGAAATGCATTTTGAATTTCTAAGGGCAAAGTGGTAATTGGCATGCTGAAGGGAGATGTAGAAATAATTGCTTGATAATGCCTGAAAAGACATTCTCTGTATAGAGCAGTTGCAGAGTGACAGCGGAAGGTCTCCAAGCAACACTGCTGAGTGCATTCCAAGAACAATCGGCCATTATTTAAAAAAAGCATGCTCTCAGGGCTGGTTCAGCTCTCAAATCAAGCATTTAAAATGTTTTCCAGCTTCACCACAGCCTTGCTCTGTGGCACTGCTACCAGATGCACCCCCCAAGCATGGCACAGCTAAGAAGAGCCCCGTTGAATCAGACCAGCCCATCCAGGAACCAGTTTCACACAGCAACTAGCAAGGGAGCCTTAAGGTGAGCTCTGTGTCATGGAGAAAATTCCAGAAGTGTTCAGCATCCCTCACCATCCCCTGTTTTGTATTCCAACAGCCTCATTTCTCCCTGACACTTTATTTATTTATTTAGGGTTTGAGTTTATATATATATATATTAAAAAAGAGGATTAAGTTGATAGATCATTTGCTTCTTCACACACACACACACACACACACACACACACACACACACACACTATATGTTTCATATATGTTCTGGCTACTGGTCAACCCCATTGGTCCTCATATCATCTACAGCAGAGCCCAGTGAATGAGAGGAGGAGGAAGACGAAGAGGAAGACTAAGAGCCATATTCAATTTTGCTTATACACGTAATGGCCAGTAACATAATGCCCACCTGTGTTGTGAGTTAACCTGTATGTGCTGCCAACCTCTGGCCTGGCATTTACTCTCAGTTTCTCGCTCTTTTCCCCCCAGTCTTAAATTCAGCCCTCCACATTTCCACACCAGTTTGTGATTTAAAAACAAACAAACAGCCACAAGCATTCATGAAAATTCAGCAACATTTTAATCAAATGTCTCTTAATATACAAGTTCTTATTTTTAATTTTGCCTAATATACCCATTTTTGGAAGCAAAAAATTATATGATCCATTTTTATATGCTGTTTTCTCTAGCAAATGCATTGTTATAAGTACCCCATCCTGTCTTTCAAATGCACACTTTGCATAATTCAGGGCAGAAAAGTAATTACCTGATGCCAATCAGTCATGAAACCATGTTTTTTCTTGTTTTTAAAAAGTTTATATGCTTTTAAAAAATGTAATATGGACCATTAAGCATCTCCCAAGAAGATCTTTTCCAGGCGTATATATCATTTGTTTCAGTCAAAACTATTTTTCATTTCGCCATTTCTGAATACATTTCGTATAATATACTGCACAAAGATATGAGTGGGAAAGATCCATAGCCTATGTGTACCAATGATGCATGGAAACTATTAAGCCCTCTCAGGAGTGAACAGGAATATCATCAGTATCCTTCAGTGTGAGAAATTGGATTTACTTTACTCCCTAGGTAGCACTGGGCGCGACGTCTGCGAGGCAGCTGCATCCTGATACGGTGCATGGGAATAGGTGTAGTAATTCATTCAACATCATGTTCGTAAGATGGAATCTGTTACTTGAAAACACCACGCTCTAGACTGTCAAACTAAAGGCAGGTGGCGGGGATAAGAAATCATATCACACCTAGCGCTTAATTTTTATTTTTTTAAAAAGTTTGGGATCAGGTCTGCCGGGAACCTTTAGCGTTGTCTCCAACTAAGTTTCCAACTCAGAATAGACCCATCGAAATAAATGTCCCTAACTTGGTCCTGTTTATAATTTCAGTAGGTCTACTCTGAGTAGGACTAGCATTGGATAAAACCCACCCTTAGCTGCCCAGTAGGTCCTACACCTTACTTCTAAGTGGGTGGGATTCAGGCTGTTCCTGTTCAGCAGGCAGAAAGCATTCTTGCACACCTAGAGGGACATGACTTTCTTGTTACACTTGACATATTACAAGAGTGATTCCTTGTACTGAGAACAGATTGTAGAAGTGAGCCCTCAATGAGCTCCGGAACAAAGTGATACTGGGCATTCAAGCATGCCCAGTCCTTGGGCTAGCAGTGCTGGGTGAATCTTCAAGGATCATCTTGTCCAGGCCTTAGTATGTCAAATTACTCTAGACAGGTTTCCAAGGCCCAGGTTTCAAGACCGCTCTGGCCTTCTTCAAACTAACCGTTTCATAGGAGATGCAGGCAAATGCCACCCACCTCTTTGGCATCTTGGGGCTATCCACCCTTCCGACTTCTAGGCACGGGTCTGAGACGTTCTTCTTTCGTCCCGCTGCTTTTCCTGGGAAAACCTGCTGTTTACTGCTGAATTGGAACAAACGTCCACCAGGTTTTCTGCAGATGGACATTTGTTTCAATTCAGCAGTAAACCTCGGGCAAAGTGGCAGGACAAAAGAAAAACCTCCAGGACCTGGAAAGCCATGGAACAAAGGAAAGAAATTGTGGGACAAAGGGAAATTTTGCACAGGTGAAAAGCATTTGGCTCTTTCCCCGCCGGCCTGTTTGTATGCCCTTTCCTGTCCCCCACTTCAAATCAGGCAAGGTTGTGCAGGGAGAATAAAATTGAAGGAGACACAAAGACCATTAGAATCACTGAAGAGCACCTGTCCCCCCTTTTCCCTATCCAATCTATTTTTTAAAATTCTATGTGCAAGGATAGTTGAGCTTTCCCCCCTTTAAGAGCTGCATCTCCTTGCTGCAAAGTTGCCCTTTTAAGGAGGATTTCATTGACTGCTCTCTAATTTGTATTTTTATGGTTTTATTGCACATGGTAGTTGTGCAGTTTCAGTGAATCGCTGATGAACCTGGATCAATGGAAGCTGCAGTGCTAATCGATGTCTCAAAGCAAATACCTTTTTGAAGCAGAACAATTCCACGCAAGCCTTGTTTACTACTCCCAAGAAGGTTAATCATTCTGCAGGGATTCAGCTCATCAATCCCCCTGCCGAAGCAAACTGACCCCTGCAGACATCAGCAAAGCACTCATTGAAATAAATCTCTGCAATCCCTGAGCCTGATTCTGTCCTCCTCGCTTACCCAGTGATCCTAAATACATCTGATGGAAGGCCGTCTCATTGATTCCAATGGATTTTTACCTCCAAGTAAGTGTGCTAAGGAGCGCATCTTTAGTCTGTGTTTTCAAAGACATAACTCTATTGTCTTCATTACAAAACACTTGACCTTCACATAATGCAGACCACATGTCAAAAGTAATTTGATTCAATAAAAGATCCCAGTGACGGATGAGTTATTTACTGGCTTTATTCTCTTGAATGTATTTTCTGGTGACTTCAGGGTAGCTTGCTTTTTTCGGCAATGCTTGCTCTGCCTTTGACTTGCCCTGAGAAAAGAGACGCATGAAGGTTTATGAAAGTTTGATGCCGGAAATTTACTCTTCCCTTCCCTTGAAATATTATGAATTTAATCAAATGTTGCCTGTAGGTTGTTTATTGTACTTTTGTTACCGTGCCCTGCATCCGGCAAGTTGAACTTTATAGGAGTATTGCCAAGGGTAAAGACTGATGGCTTTATAATATGCTTTGAAGTTATCATGCCCACGTTGGATTTTGTGCTGTATCTTCTGCATATTTACCGCAGGAGTTAAGACTGCATCCTAAAACTCTTTCTAGAATAAGAAGGGACCACACATCTCTAGCCAGCTAGTAGATGGTGACTTGGAAAAGCAGGTAAAGGATGGCATGCCAAGGCTCCATTATCAATCTCCTCCCCAAAGTGAGATGCTACTATGTCCCATGGATGTACAATGCCAACAAGGATAGGACATAGGGCATTCCACAAAAGGCTGAATGTGGTCAGAGGTCTAGAAACTGCCAATCCTTGTCTTTCATGCTGCCACAATCCACAGATATCATTTTGCTGTGCCATAAGGGAAACAAACAAACAAACAAACAAACAAACAAACAAACAAACAAACGGCACTAGAATTCTTCTACTGCTTTCCTGTGGAACTGCCAGGTTTGCAAGTGCCATATAATATTTATTACACACATGCAAGAAATTGAGGGTTTAGTACAGCAGCACCTTTTCTGTGTTGTTCATTGAATCCCATTTTATGCCTGCTGGAAACTTTTATTTAGGCAAGTCTACTCAGACATGTAATTTTATTATGTGCATTTGTAGTTTAAAACTAATGATTAAACTATGTTTTGATCATTTCATTATGTCTACTTGTTTTCAAAGTCTTTTGATTTTATCGGCATTTTCTCACGAGTATTTTATATTATTTTATGCAAACTGCTGACAAGGGTTTTGTTATTTATTATATGCTGTCCATAAATAAAAATCGTGACAGTTGTAGTGCTATTGCTGCATCCCCGCAGGCCTGAACTGTGCTGCTCTTGGTAGACTTCTTGTTGAGTGAGAGATTTGGAGAGATGTTGGGAAATTATCAGATCCTGCTCTCTCCCTCCCTCCCCCCTCTCTTAAACAATTTTTATTGGTTTTTAAACTAAAATAACTATTAAACACTTATGCAGTTGTACAGCTAATGGTGTTTGCTTTATCCATTGTCTCTAGACATACACTTACACATTCAACATTTCTTTCTCGCTCTTGAGGTGGTAGACGATTTTGTCTACCTGGGCTCCACCATAACCAGCAACCTCTCCATCAACACTGAACTGGACAAGAGTATTGGCATGGCAGCTACAGCAATGGCTCGCCCCTCCCAGAAGGGTATGGGAGAATGTGATGCTAATGACCAATACAAACATGAAAGTCTACCAGGCCAGTGTGCTGAGAACACTACTTTATGGTAGTGAGACATGGACAACTTACACTCACCAGGAGCAGCGCCCCTGGTTGCCTTCCACATGCTCTGCGTCAGGAAGATTTTGGGCACCACATGGCAGGACAGTCTCAAATAAAGAGGTGCTTTCCCAAGCCAACATTCCCAGTGTGTTTGCTCTTCTGTCTCAGTGATGTCTGCGCTGGCTTAGTCTCTACAGCCAAAACAGGCACTGTAACTCTCCAACGGTTTGACTTCCATTGACTTCCATTGTTTCCTGAGACAGACGGGTGCGTTTTATGGCTATTTCAGTTAATAGATTGGAGAGGCCTACACAGAGCTCTGTTCAAGAACTCTGGGATTTATATAAGAGTGAGAACTCTTTAAATCCACCATCATGAAACTTAAGTTCTGAACTTCAGCTCCGTCACTACTTGTAGGTGAAGAACAATAGGTTCGTGCTTGAGAGAGGGCATGCAGAAGAATCACCAGAAGCTACGGTGGAGTTTTCAAAAGGATATCAGAATGCTTACTTATTTATTTCAATCTCACCTATATTCCCAGAGTAGATCATGCCAGCAATGCTAGAATCGGGATCCAGAATTGATGGATGGGCAAGGTTGTATCCACATTTGATTTTTTTATTTTGATTTTTTAAAAAAAATCTTGTGGGGGATGAGAGTTCACCTTTGCATAAATGTGGTGGTGAAATAGCAAAGTAATAGACATGAACATGTGACTAACAACCACCCATGTCTTTGCGAGGGAATAACTAGGTCACCAGTAGGGAACCTCGGCACTTTCCCTTATCTGGGAAGTATGACTGAAAGAACAGCCTCAGACGGATTCCTTTTCTGCCACAGACTGATGTGAGGTTTGATCCAAGCAGCTCAGCCGCCCTCAGGTTAGTCACTCAGATTGTCGTCCTCATGAATTACCCTAATTAGTCTGACCAAATGAAGATGGACTTTCCTGTCCCCACCCCCCAGTAGGTTTTGGTGACTGCTGATAAGTTTTGTTTATACGTGAAATTACATTCTTATTTACATTGCCTGCATTTTGAGCTAGCAGCACTTTCTCTCACACTATGGCAAAAAAGAAGAGTGGGGGAAGCACTTCTGGGACAGAAGCAGAGACCTATGAGCAAGCTGCTGGTGTTCCTATGTCTGGCTGGGCTCCATCCATTTTCCTTGCTGTGAATCACAGCCCTAAATTATTCTGCTACACTCAATGCACATCTTTAAAGGTGACTGGCAAATAGAGAATAAAGACCTTTCTTCGCAGTAAAGCAGCCTTCCAAAATTCTGCAAATGGCTATTTGCTTACATTAAATTTATAGTAAAGAGCTCTATTTAATATGTTCAGACATATTAAACTCTAAACTCCACTCCCTTATAATAGGTATGTTTATCCTGGAAGTAGTGTTTGCACATAGTAAACATTATTTAAAATTCCTTCCAGTAGCAGTGTATCTGAAGAAGTGTGCATGCACACGAAAGCTCATACCAAGAACTAACTTAGTTGGTCTTTAAGGTGCTACTGGAAGGAATTTTTTTGTTTTTCCAAAATAATGTTTACTATGTACAATTTTGTAATTGTACAATTGTAATTGTACAATTTTTTTTTGTTTGACTATGGCAGACCAACACGGCTACCCATCTGCAACTGGAATTATTTTGGAAATGCACTAAATCAGCACATTGGCTTCAATTATCTGGTCTGTATAGGCTGCTCAAGCCTGACCTGCTCATGGACTAATGTGGCTATCTCTTCCAATGATGGAGATCACCTATTCTTGCAGGGGGTGGCAGAAGCATGGTTGTGGAAATCAGAACAATCCACCACATTTACAAAACCACCAAAAACTTCTCTGGACAAGGGTTATACTGACATGTCCATTTTTCTCATGTTGCCAGAAAATATCCCCTGCAGCCTGGGGAGCACACGGTTGCTAGTCCTGAGCACGAGACATTCTTGAGAGATTCTGTGGGTTGGGTAGTATGGCTCTCAGTTGTCTCCCTGGTCACTGGTTCCCCACAAAAGGATGCTTTAAATGATGAAGAGGACAACTTCTTTCCCACCAAAAAGATAACCTGCAAGTGAGAAGTTGGGGCTTCAAGGATGAACAAAGGAGTATCTGCTCATTACTCCATTGCCTCTGAAAGATCCTATGTAAGGGGAACTGGGCTCTGAGGATGTTTGTCTTCAGAGCACAAAATCACCTCCACTCACTCATCTCCCCCACCTATGAATTCTTTGAAGATCCTAATTTGTGCACTAATCTGTTGAACACTCAGGAGGGCTGGTTCACACATGGACTGGGTAACTAAGTTATATACAGAGTGGGTCACAAGCGTGCACTTTGAACATGTTTGCTGTCCCTCAGCATACATAGGGACTTCAATGTAAAGCCAGGCCTATGCAAAGAGGGTCTACTGGCTCTGTATCCTTGTCTCTTTTTCATTGCAGGTGGATTGTACATATCCACTTAAGCATTGCACAGATATTATCCTGAACTGTAACAATTTCCATTGCCAAGAAGAGGCAATGTCTGGGCTAGCTTCATGCTAGACTAAGGTCAGGGTTTTGGATAACCAAAAGGATTGGCTCAGAGTTCAGAAGTACAAGTTTCAGGACCATGGCCAGCAATCTGGCAGCTGAGAGCAGATTGGGTTGTATATCCATTATTGCTTAAAGGAGACGTATTGAAATCAATGAACATGACTACAATTTAGTTGGATACAGCTCATTGTCTCAGCACCAGATTCATAGTCTGGCCTGGAGGATTAAGACTGAACCCCCCGCCCCCACTTCTAACTGCTGCAACAGGCTTTGGTGCAGGTGTTGGTAACTTCTAGGTGGCAGGGTTTGGGGCTGTTTTTGGGGCTGTAGGGACATTGCAGATGGAAGCTTTGCAGGACTCTCAGAGGAATTGATAGCTCATTCTTCTGTGTCCCTAGGAAATGGTACACCCTCAGGACCTGAGAGGTTGAATGTGAAATCTTGCGCTGTTGGTATTGGGTCCATCTCCTCCTTGGAGTTACGACAGATCAGCTAGATTCAACTAAACAGTGGAACAAGCAGGAGCCAGCATGGACTTCACAAGTGCAACAGGGCGCCCACAACTCCTCCCTCCCACACCTACCCAAATAGGCTCTATGTGGTTGGAAGAACCTCCAGAATTGCTTGCAGGAGGAGACTGTTCTGTCTGGGAAGCAGAAATGCTTGTGTTGATGGAACAATCATAGTGGTACAATGTTGAATGCCTTCCTTAGAGACTGAAAGCTCATGACACATAGATCCCTTTTCACACAAACTTCTAGGCATTAGTGCAGGTAGATGCCTGAGCTTTCTCTGAAATCTTGTCATGTATATATGCCAGTCCACACACCACGGCCAAGTGCAACTGAGCTCTCATGTGCATATACATAGTTGGTTGAATCTGCCTAGTTGGATAATCAGCGGATTGTACCTTGGCTTCTGCCAATAGACTAAATAAAGTCTAAGAGTTCAATATGAAATTCAAATGCTTGCTTTTAGGCTACCTTCCTGCCTCGAATTAAAACCTTTCCACGTCATGTTGCATAATGTAGCCTGTGATTTTCAGAATATTAAGTATCGCAGTTGCCTAATCATACCAGATTAATGAAGTTACCAAGATTCATTTAGAAAGCAATGGAGAATGTCTAATTTTAATTAGGAGTTTTGATTACTGAGGTTAATGGAACCTCTCCCCACCCCTGCAAAAAAATCATTTGTTTTCAGAACTATATATTTACTATAATGAAATCACAGTATCTAGATATTATTCCAGTTTGTGCTTAACAAGAGTGCAGCAAAACGAAGATGAAAACAGGCACCATGATCCTATAAGGGGGATGGAGATAATCCACAGCAGAGCAACCACCACATCTATTGCCCTTCCAGCTTGACATAACAGAAAGTGGAGTGGTGGCTTCTATCCCCCAATGCTTTTCTCTCTCTTCCATTGACTATAGTGAGACAGAATTTACTATTCGAGCTCCAGGGCTGGAATAGTTCTGAGTCCATGGGGTGGGTGTGTTAAGGAAAGCAATGTGACCCGGGCAGGGTCACTATCATGCCATGGACAAGTTAGGAAAAATTATGAAGAAAACAGTGAACGCTAAGCAGTAATTCTGCATTATTGTATATCATGCATATGGATTGCTAATGAGGGATTGGCTGGCTCCCTAGAGTTTCTGTGATCATATAGGGCTTTAGATGCTGGATTTACCTATTGATTTTCTGTTTTATTTGTATGTTTGTATTTGTGCTCTGTGTTATTAAACCTAATAAAATACATATCTGAAAAGGAAAGGAAAGAAAAGAAGAGAAAAGAAAAGAAAAGGCCTTTCAATAGATCTCCTCTCTACACTTCATTTAATGCAGAGATCATTAGGAGACCCTCTACTGCTAATCTTAATGTACAGGCAGGTTGATATTAGAGGGAATGGGTTTTTTTCCTTAATAGGAGGCTAAACAACCTGATCAAAAGGAAGAAGACTGCAATATGGCACAAGAGGGAAATTATGCTTAAAAGAGGTCTTTTCAGTTATTTCAGAGCGAATGCTAGGCAATCAGTCATCTTAATAGGGGTTAAAATGACCTGAAAATTCAAAGGCATGGCTGTAATGGATAAAGTTTTGCCAGGAATTTAGCAAGTTACTTTAAGCAGTGGATCTGTCCCTAAGTTACCCTCAAGACATTCTTTGGAAGTGAAATAGTCTTAGGAGAAAACCGGTGAGGGATTTCTTTTCACCATCCTAGAAAACACATAACTAAGGAAGGCAGAGAAACATTTCCTGAAGTGTTGGAGGTTGTTCGACCCAACTTGTAAGACAGCCCTTTTCATCTCAGTGCGTTCTTTATGTTGTTCAATGACCATCCCCATCACTCCTGGCTTGGGATGGCCTGGCCTGGCGGGAGTCCAACAACATCTGGCAGACACCAAGCTGGGGATGGCTGCTGTAGGGATTACACATTTTCCTCACAAACTCACAGTTCATATTCAAGAACTGCTTATTTGAAGG